ATAACGTCTATCATGCTTATCAATAACTAATTGATTTCTCATTTTAGGGATTATTAGTTGCATCATCTCTTGCATATATTTTACCAGCATTATGTTATTTAAAATTAAAACCACATTCATCACAATTTTCACTCGATAATATTGCACCATATATTATATTAATTATTGGTATATTACTAACCATATCTGGTTTTGTTCTTCCATTACGACATGCATTGCAAGAAGGTTATTATTGTCAACATGGTATTGAACCTCGTTATTGTACACGAATGTTTCCACGAGTAACAAATTATACAAAACATGGAAAAAAAACTCTTCATTTTCTTTCATCACTTCATACATAACTCTATAAACATTTTTTTTCTGGTGATATTTGCATATATTTATATATATATATTTAGAAAATAAAATCTATAAATACACCTATTTATTGGTTAACTGATGTAATTTATCTGATTGATCGACATTAACCAGATATATATACAATGAGAAAATCTTTCATTCAACTCAACACCTCTTCTTAGCAGTTTTCTTTTTTAGGCAAATATCATCAACTCCTTATCAGTAATATATGTGTGTCGTCAACAGTCGTTCGTCTGTCTATAATATCCAATCAATATAATCATTATAAGCATTTCTAATTCTGTTTATATTTTTACAAGAAGAGATAATATTATTGGTTAAAGAAGAAAAAAACTTATCCATATAGACGACAGACAAGTAATGCAAAGAGAAAGATAAATGTTTCTCAATGGAAAACGATCAGTCAATTGGTTTATTGAGAAAAAAAAAAGAAGAAAAGACAATCACGATCGACGAATGAGAATATAAGAGAGAAGAATCAATTACATTAAACATATCATCGCGTGCAATATTTGATTGTTGTTGCAACTCAAATTTGCCAGACAAGAACTAGAGAGAGAGAGAGAAAAAAAAAACGAAGAAATTGTGGTATCGTTACATTGAGCAGAAACAGATCGTTTTAATGGGCATCGATAAAAAGAAAAGAAGAAGAAAAAAAAACGAAAGAGAACAAGTAGAGAAGAGAAGAGAGCCAAATCTTGGATAGATAGATAGATGCACAACAAAGAATGCGACAGTAATATCAAGAGAGAGATGATTTACTTCAATGAGTTTTTAATAAACTAAATGGCAAACGGATCATTTGACGACTGAAAATATCTTTTCATATATATTTATTCGTTCATTCATTCATTCATTCATTCAATCAATCTCTACAAATGAGTAAGAAACTTGGTGTTAATATCTCAGATCTTCTTGCTCAACCTGTTACTTTATCTGTATCTCCAACAACTTCATCATCATTATCATCCTCTACAACATCAGATTTAGTAACATCATCTAATGAATATCATCATGATCGACAAATTGAATTATCATCAACATCATCAACAGTACAACAAATCAATGAAACAAATAATCATTTATCAAATTATGAACAATTAATGCGAGCATCATCAATGTATCGTAATCAAGATTATTCTTTATTACCAATTGTTAATGGTACTTATCCATGGATTCAAACCGATAGTATACTAAAAGATCGTTTTTCTTGTAAGTTAATCTCTAATGACATTTTTATGAGAATAGTCACGCAAAATCGAATAGTTAATCAAATTTTCTATATTTTAAGTATTCAATAATCAACGACGTTTAGGTCATCCATATCAAAATCGAACTCCACCAAAAAGAAAAAAACCTCGAACATCATTTACTCGTTTACAAATACTTGTAAATTTTTTAAAAATTGATTATTATTATTCAATATATATATATATATATGTGTGTGTATATAGGAATTGGAAAAACGTTTTCATCGACAAAAATATTTAGCATCATCAGAACGTTCACAATTAGCTAAAGGTTTAAAAATGACTGATGCACAAGTTAAAGTAAAAAATCAAATGAATTATTTTCTATAAATTAAAAATAAATAACTTCAATCTAGACATGGTTTCAAAATCGTCGAACGAAATGGCGACGACAAACAGCTGAAGAACGTGAACAAGAACGACAAGCAGCTAATCGTCTTGTATTAACAAGTTCTCATCATCATCATTCAGTATCATCAAGTCCAAAAATATCATCACCATCACAACAAATATCAAATGATAATAATAATTCATTGATATATTCAAGTGCATCTTTAAATGCTTTACAGAATTTACAACCATGGTCAACACCATCGAATCATTCAAATTTATCACCAACATCATCAGTATCAGATGATAGTAATCATCGTGCAACTAATCATCAATAATATTTTTTTTAAAAAAAACCAGAAACATAATTATCAATTTTTTTTTCTTTTTTTGCGTTTTACTTATATAAATATATTTCAATGATGTAAGTGTGTATATGTGTGTGTGTGTGTGTTCTTTCAATAAACACTTTGCAGATTGTAATGTCTGTCTATCTATCTGTCATTTTAATTAGAAAAACTAATCCCTAGAGAAACATCTTATCTATCTATTTCGTTACACTTTAGTAAACACATTCTATTAGTCAACTTCCATTTAATTATTAAACTCAATATTTTCTCTTATGGGAGTAATATAAATAATTTTTATTTAATAGTTTAGAAATAAGAATTTAGTTTTCCTTGATCTTATTCGAGATTTTGTTTTTTATTTGATGTGTTCGTGTTTTAGGATAAATGTTGTATATAGATGTATATATCTATATGTCTATCTATCTCTTATTACCATTCAACAGGCGACAATTGTCACACGCAATATTTAGGGAAAAGAACGATGACGATACCCAAAAGACTAAAGACCACCCACTAATTAATTAAGTAGAAGAAGAAAAAAAGCGATGAGAACACATCATCTTTATAAATGTGTATATGTTCTCGTTGTGTGTTATGATTTGGAAAAAAGGAAAATTGCTTTTCAATGTTTATATATCAAATTGTTTGTCTCATTTTGCTCATATATAGATGTCTGGCTATGATCATCTTCACATACAAACACTAGATCGCAAGTTTATGTTGTGCTGAACGTTATAGAAGAGGCAATTGAAGTGATTAATTGCAAGTTAATTTGAATGCCAGCCGGCAATAAAAAAAAACAAGAGATAATTCTTGGATGAATATAAAAAAATGTCTTTTATATATTTCAAAGCAGAAAAAGAAAAGAAAATATGTTCTAGAGAATTATATAAGAAAAACAGTTTAATCAAAGAAGTCATCTCCTTCTTTTTCTTTATTTTTGATTGGTGATTTATGTGAAACAGGTATTGGTGAATGATGTTTTTCTAATCGAGCTGCTGGTCGACCATAATCAACTAAATCTTGTGTAAATGTATCATTTGTTGTTGGTGATATTTTATGAGCACTAGTACGTTTTATATCAGATTTATCAAATGTTGGTGTTGTTGTTGCACTCGATGAACTACTACGATTAGCAGCAGCCTCTTCAATTTCAGTATCTGAAGAGGATGTTGATAAAATAATTGGTGAGGGAACTCGACGTTTTGGAACCATTGAAGGAGGAGAAGAAGGAGGAGATTCATTTTTAGTTACAGGTGGTGTTTGAGACGAATGATTTGTATGTGTAGTTGGTGGTGTTGACCTTTTCGCAACTGTTGTTGGACCAATTGATACACGACGTTGTTTATGATGTTTTTTAGTTCGTTTATGTTTAATTAATTGATTGTCTTGACTTCGATTTGTACTGTTAGATGATGTTGTAAGCTCAGTTGTTGTCGAAAAATCTGATTGACTATCGACAAATTCTCGATGTTCTAAAATAAATTCTATATAATTAATTTTTGGAAAAAAAACAAAACTAAATCTCTAATTTTAAAGAATATTTAGATTAGAAAACAAATATAAAGATTTTTCATACCATCAGAATCGATCTGTTCTCTATGTGATACCATTAAATTAACTGGAAAATCACGCGTAGTCTTTTGATCATTTGATTTACTCGATAGCCAAGCATTGCACGTTATGTCAGAAGTTATTTCACGAATTGGATCAAAAATCGATACTTTATTTAAAAACCAAGCTGATTCTGTAAACAAAAATTTATAGATTTAAAAAAATAAAAAAATATTTATTACGTATATCTTTTTGATCATGTCCAATTCTAATTCCAGCTAATTGTCCAACATGATATGTTTGAATTGTAAAAATATCAGTTTGATCTTTTTGGAATGGCATTCGATGGTTTTCAGAATTGATAAGATTAAGAGATGGTGTATATCCATTTGTTCCATAAAATTGAATACTTATAGGTGCATCTGTTGAAGCACCATTACAATTTCCTGTTGTAATTGAAACTTTATATTCACAAAGAATTGCTTTACTAATTGGTTTTGCTTTATTCATCTTTAATAAATATAAGATTTGTATGAATTTAATTTTGCTTTTTTAAATACTTACAATTGATCGTGCTTTTTCAACAGGATTTTTAGTTTTACGTTTTTGTTTTACAGGCTGTTGATTATTTATTGATGCTCCTGAATCAATTGATAAACGTGATACAGATGGTAAAACCGATTGTATATTAGATTGTTCACTAGAAAATATCAAAATAGAATTTTAATAAGATTTTAATTAATATTTTTACTCTATTGGACGTGGAGATGGATTTGTATTTCGTGAAACATATGTATGTGGCATCTAAATTTATTTAAATTATTTTTAGATTTTCCTAATGAGAATTTTATTTTTTTTACTTGTTGTGATAAGAAACTTGTTTCATATATTGATCGTCGTGTATTAATCATTGTTGCAAGAATATTTGCTGTATTATCAATTAATCGATTTTGTTCAACACGTGATAGTTTAAATGCAGGCTTAGGTATGTCTCTTCGAAATTCTCGAGTATTTGTTCTAATTTTATATTTGAAATAGGATATGTTATTATTATTAATTATTTAATCAATAAAATAACTTACGCACTACATGCTGAACTTGCTCGTACCGATGGTCTTAAATTGAGTTCAGCAAATTTTTGATTTTCTTTTGACTAGAAACATATATTAGAATACTATTAAAATTTCTTTGAAATATTTACTGAAGATCTATTTGGACGCATGTGAAAAGTAAGTTCTTGACGACACATCCGTTTTTCTGGAGTATTTACTGTTGGCTAATAAATATTAATATAGTGTTATTATAAATATAAAAATAAAAAATAAAATTACATTAATTTGTTTTCTTTGTTGTTGAAAACTACGCATATAAATTTTAATATCATTATCAGAATAAGAAGAACCGTAAGGTGGTGGATATTCTTTTGTTGTTCCGTACATATATCGCTGAAAGAATAAAGAAAAAATATTAAGTAAATTATTTTATAATTTGACTTACAGCTTTGCTCGGTACAGGATCTAATGCAGAAGAATTTGGATTAAGAATAAAAGCATTTTCACGACGCTTTACATCCATATAATGTTTTCTAGAGGAGGAGGAAGACAAAACAATATAATGAAATTATATTAGCAACAAGATAAAAATAGAAAGACTTACAAGTTTTTGGATGTTTCCTTAATAACAGCATGTGATAATCGATCCATAAATGGTGTTGTATTATTACCATTATTATTAAGAGCTATATGAGCCATAATGTCTTTTTTCACACTCACTCGATCAGCGTTGTCAAGTAAATGTTTACAAATTTTTATAACATAATAATCAGTCTATAAAAAATGAAAATTAATTTTATATTGCAATCTCAGTTTTTTTTCTTCTTCGTTTTTTCATTTCTCATTCTTTTAAATCTATCAAATTTCAAACAAATTTCTACTTCAATTCAATGACAAAATTTTATGTTTGAATGTAGTGATGGTGTTGAGTTGTTCACTTTTTTTTTTGTATGTCTTACCTTCAGCAGTAATTTCTTTTCTGTGTCTCTGTCTCTCTTTCACTTTCACTTATTTTGTCATTCTTGTGTTGGCATTGTGTATTTACAAGTTCTTCGCTTGAAAAAAAAAAGAAAATTTTTTTTTGTATGTTCTCTTTCATTACACATTTCTACTTGTGTTGTTTTGATAAATCTTTCTTCTCCCCGTTTTATACTCCTTCGAGAGTAACTACGTTTGCATGTGTGTATGTAGTTATAATAAAGAAAGCAGACTGTGTTTTTTTGTTGAAAAGAAGAAACTAACAAACTAAGTGAAGAAGACATTGCATACAGAAAGAAAAAAGAGAATATAAAAATCAACACAGATGCTTGAATTTGCATGTCTGTTACCTTAGTTATCGCTTTTTTTTCTTTATTTCATGTATATATATGTTATTAAAATTAAAAACAAAAGAAGATTGAGAAAACTATGAAAAACAATTTAATTTTTTTCTTTTTCTATGCATTTGAAGTAATAGAAATTACTTCGTTCTATTGTGATGATAACAAACAGTTAAAATCAATAAAAATAAATTATACTTGTGTAATACGTATGCAAATCTATAGAAAAGTCAAGTTGATTCATTGATGACAAATAGGATTACATGGATTTTATTTTATTATCAAAGTTTAATCAGAAAGACACAAAATTTATATGACTAGATCTAAATGAAGATTATGATGATATTAATCGAACCGAATTTAGATCGGAAAATGGTAGAATAACCTAAAATGAACAGATATTATAAATAATTTGTTAAATTAAGAAATAAAATTTACTGTTGTTGATTCTTCTTCTTGTTGTTCTAATAATTCATCTGATGGTGCATAGAATTTTGATGGTTGATTAAAAGCTGATTGTAATGGTTTATCAAGTTGTATAGTTAATTCACCGGTTGTTTCATTCACATCAATTACTGTTCCTTCTTTAAATTCTGACATTTTTGGACAAAAATCTTCACTTAATTCAAGTAATTTAAAAGCTATACGTGTTTGAATTGTTGGACATTGTGTTATTGGAGGGTAGAGATCATATATTTTTTCATTATTTTCAATAGCTTCAGCAACAAGTGGTAAACGAGCTAATTTATTAAATGAGGTTGGTAGAGTCTTTGAAACAAAAAGAAAAAGTTTCTTTTTTTTTGTATTTTTTTTTAAATATTAATTTCTATATTTACTTGTGGAGAAGAAGATGAAGAATGATTTCCATTTGATGCTATTTGATTTTCAAGATCATTTTTATCAAGACCAAACGCTTGATCAACAAAATTTGCCATTGACATATATTCTAATGCTCGTTTTTTATGTTGTGCACGTTTTTTACCTAATTGTTGTCGAATTTTTTTAGCTTGATTTTCTTCAACAGTTTTATGTTGTTTCATTTCGAAAAGAAGATCAATAGTTTTCTTCTTGTTATTGTTATTGTTATTTGTTTTCGTAGAATCTTTAATCACATCTGTTGCGACTGGTGTTGGAATGTATTGTATACGAACTGAACTATTACTACCATTAACCAATGGTAATGGGTTTGTTGTATCTTTTTCTTCATTTATATTTGATGTATTTTTCTCTTCGATTGTATTTGATGTATTCATTTCTTCAGTTATAGTTGATGTACTTATTTCTTCGATTTTATCTGACGTTTGTGATAAAGATTCATCATCACTATCAGAATCGAATCGTACATGTGATTTGTCTATGAAAATAAATGATTAAATAAGAAAAAGAAATGAGAAATATTACCTTTAACATTTCCTTTAGGTAAAGGTTTTTGTGCTTTCCATGCTGGTGTTTTCGATTTTAATTCACGAATATAACCATTAGTTGATGGAAGTGATAATGGAAGTTCTGAATTTATTTCTTGTTCAATGATTGGTTCTTTTGGCTTTTGTACTACCGGTTGTACTAGTGGTGATTTAGGTATAGACTGAGTAACCGGTGGTTCCGGTATACATTGAATAATTGGTATATTAATGACTTGATCTGCACTTGATTTCTCCTTTGTTTTCTTTTTACGTGGTTGTTCATTGACAATTTCAACGGATGGTATGATTGTGATTGTTGATTCTGTCGACATACTTTGTTCATTAGATTCTAAACGTTGTCGTCGTTTATGATTATTTTCCGATTTAATAATCGATGGTATAATTGTAATTGTTGATTCTGTTGACATACTTTGTTCATTAGATTCTAGACGTTGTCGTCGTTTGTGGTTATCTTCCGATGTAATCATTGATGGTTCGATTGCAATTGTTGATTCTGTTAACATATCTTGTCTAGTAGATTCTAAATCTTGTCGTTGTTTATGATTATTATCCGCTTTGATCACTGATGGTTCGATTGCAGTAGATGAGGATATATTAAAATTAATTGAATCTTGAAATGATTTTTGATGTAGTTTATGTGCTGTTAATGGCATAAGACTAAATAATAGAAAAATTGATTAATAAAAATTAAATAATATTAGTTTTCGCTTACATTAATCGATCATTATCACGTAAAATTTGACTTGAAGTAAATGGTAATAATTGACATTCATCGAGATGAATAATAAATGTTCGTTCATCACATTTTTCTTGATCTTTCAAATAATTTAATTGAATATCCTCAAGAATATCTTTAACAGTCAATAATTTCGATGGTTCAAACGCATACCAAAAATTATGAAATTGTTTTGATGAATTTTCATCACAGAAATATTTTAAATGTATTTGCACACGAATAGCATTCATAGTTTCTAAAAGACATAGTAATAATAAAGAATTCTTTCGAGATTATTTTATTTATAAATTTATTACAAAAAAAATCATGTTTAATCTTGTAAATAACAAAGTCAAAAATATAAAAAACAAAAAACTAGTCCAATACTATATAAATTTCATTATCAGCTGTCGGTATATCACCATTGTATTCATTTTCTTCGTCTAAGGTATTATCAGCTGTTCGCATATCAATATTGCATTCATTTTCTTCGTCTGACATATCATCATGATTGTCTAAAATAAATCAAAAAATTTTAAATAGACCGTATTTTTTTCACAAACCATAATTAATTAAGGTAAGATCTTCATATCGAATATCATCTAAAGCAAAACCACTTGCATCAATAGTACCAAATCGTTCATTAAGTTGTTCGATAACTTCCGCTCCTAATTGTTCATATACTTGACGAAGAAATTTAAGAGAACGAATACGATGAAAATATTCCAGACATTCATTTTCATCACCAGGCCAATTATCATCAATATCACAAACAGCAGTTAAATACATCGGGCAACTAAATAAAAATTGGTTTAAAAAAAATGATTTATTTCTCATTGAATAAACTAACCGTTTAGGATTTATTTCCCAACTTTCATTATGTCGATATATCGGTATTACTGATTCCGTTGTAGATGCAGATATACTTTTATCACAATCAATTTCTTTTAATCCACAAAAATAACACCAATATGTTTGACATTCTGGACAAGTCATGTGTGTACATGCATCATCCTAAAATACATATTTTAAGTAATCATTATAATAACATTTGATTAAATATACCTTCATACCTAAAAATAGAAAAAAATTATTAGAAAATAACTATGAATAAATTTCATTTACCAGCTAAACCACATTCAGGACAGGGTACTTTCTGACCATTTTCAATAGCCATTTCAACAATCTTTTTTGCTTCTCCAAGTTCTGCACATTTAAAATGTTTTTCAATTTCTTCCTACAAATAATAAGATTTCATATAGTAAAAAAGACATATACTGTTTTTTTACTATATTATTTTCATATTCTTCATATTCTTCATCGTCAATGTCATCATAATTTTCTTCTAACATTGTTACTTTATGTAAACAAATCAAACATGACCTAAATATAATTATCTAAACGACAACTTTATCTATACGTTATTTTTACTAACGTTTTCCCGCAACCTTGATGTTTACAAAACATAAATTGAGCACCAGGTGATTTAACTCGAATTTCTACATACGAACAAAATGCTAGAATCAAAAAAACAACAGATCGGTAAATAAAAATAGTTTATTTTAAAATTATACCACAATAAATAAGTTCCTCATTATCTTTTAAAATATCTTTTGACCACGAAAGACTCAACATAATATTTGTATATTGGACAAACTGTTCAGGTTTGAGTTGTCGTTCAAAAACTGATGAATTTAGTTCAATTTTACATACCTATTGACAAACAAAAAGGAAAACCAACTCTTTAATAAGTTTAATAAATATTTTGTTTAACAAACCATGCATCGTGGTGGAAGATTTATATTTGGTTCAGCAATACACATTGCTACTAAATTTGCTGAACATGGCATACATAAATGATGACCTTGTGCACATTGAATACCTAAGAAAGATTAATTTTTTAATATTTAATAGTTATAAGTCATGTGATATTTGTTTACCTGCATGATTTTCTTCTAATTTATCTCTACAACCAAAACATAATATAGGTTCATCTTTTTTATTAATCTTTGATGAGTCTAAAGACATTATTTAATAAGACAACAATGATTTTGAAATAAATATTGAGTTATATAAATATGTGTTTTTTAATACTCAAATTCATTTGGATTTTTCCAACTTTAAATAGGAAAAAACCAAGAGAAGTTTTGCTAGATAGTAATGTGTTGTCCTTCCCGAGCAGACAAGGAACGAAAAATACGGCGTTTCTACGCGTAAAAATGTGCGCGTTTTACGCGATGAAAAAAAAAACGTTTTGGTAGCAAAATGATGAAGACTCCTTTTGTTGTTAGTAGCTCGACTTTTTCTACTGAAAAAGAATTTTTCTCTAAGTGTAAAAAGCGTACATTCTTACGCGTAGAAACGCCGTATTTTTCGTTTCTTGTCTGCCCAGGTTATCTCTCTCATATATTGTCATTCTTATCTTTTGTCCTTTTGGTATTTTTCTTTATTCCTATCATAAATATATATTCATATATGTGAAAGATTTTACCTTGCGTTGGCTTTTCTCTTGTCAAGATTCCATGTGTGGACAGTTTGTCTTTATTCATTGTCATCCATATAAACCAACTGATTTCAATAAATATGATCGACTGTGGTAGGCAGGATCATCTACACGCAACACATTTCATCGGAGAACCACGCCTCACATGTTTGTTTTCAATATCCATCTTATAGAGTTAATCAATCAAAAATGTTATAATAAAAAAAACAGATAAATTCATCATCATTAAATCATATCATTGTATTTTAATATTCAGAATACGGCAATATATAATCATTAATATTGATAGACAATACATTTTCTTGATTTTTAACAAGTTTGATAGTATGAAAACATCGATCTTAATTATTGACAAGTTCATAACACATGACGAACCATATCTGATTTAGTGATTGAAGAATCTATTGCTAAAAAAATAAGTCTATGATAAAAAGAAGTAATCTTTCTTTTTCTTCAAAATAGCTAAGAGGATAAATTATGCATTTTTTTATCTTCTACTTTAAAAATTATTTATTAATATATAAATATATACTGAAACTATAAACAAATAGTTTAAGCAGTACTATTTCTAATCAAACATAAATAATATCTATAAAGAAATACTTTTTCTTCTTTTTTTGCAATCTATCGACCGTAGTTCGTGATTAAGTCTAAAATAGGGTTTTCTCTTGAGAAATAAGAATTCTATTTAGAATCTCAATAATTCTAAAAAAAGTAACATACTCGATTTTTCTATTATTTTCTATTCGCACTTATAAATTTCTATACTATAAAAAAAAGTAAAAAATATATAATGCATTAAATAAGTAGTAATCAATTCAAAAGCTATTGAAAATTTAAGATACCGATAAAAAAAAAGTCTTCTTTACAATTATATTCAATATTTGATTAAAATATATTTATATATATTGTCTCAGAAGAGAAAAAAACTAAAACGAAGTAATAACCTAATCTCACATCTAAAACTAATATTCAAAAACTGACATGTCATCGTTTACAACATACTCACATTGATTAATTAAAACTCAATAGAAATATTCACAAGACATGAAAACCAATTCTCTGACATCTATAGAATCTGCTAAATTGGATTAACAATCTTCATCATATATATATAAATTTTTTATTTTGACCTTGAGCTAACACTTTATATAATTTCCAAGAATTTACCATTATGAAATATTTTCAGGTATGGAATGATAAAATAAAATGTAAGTAAAGAAAAAACGATGAAATTTACCTAATTAATTAATTGAATAATAATATATTTTTGTTTTGTTTTTCTTCGTATATATCAATTAATCCATCAGACAATAACGCACCAAAATCGAATGATCAGTCATAAATTTTTGATTGAATCTACTCAGATAAATTTGACAATATAGAAGAAAAAAAAACTAATTAGATTTATTTTGAGCAATAGTTCTAGCTTTACGAATGAGAATCACGAACAAGAATATACATTATTTGATAAAAATAAAAAACATATATATATTCATTATCAAGTAAATTGAATAATTTATATCCCATTCATTTGATTAACAAGTGTTAAAAATTTCTAAATGAATTACTATTATTCTTGATCTATTCATACATTGTGTTACTTGAAAAACCATTAAGCTATTAATCGTTTTTCTTTTTTTAGATTGTAGCGCTTTTCAGTCATTTGTTGTATGTTATACTCCAATAATATTTGTTTGAACGACAAAATAAGATGGAAAAACAGGAAAAGAAAGGAGAAAAAGGAACATAAACAAATCCAATCGATCGATCGATCGATCGATCGTTTGTAGTTCTAGAGCATCATTTCTTCCTTTTTTTCTGGAGAGCTTATCGTCGTCGTCGTTGTCGTTGTCGTCGTCATCATCATCATACTCATCATCATCGATTTTCTGTCTGCTACGTCTCCTTCATCTATTCTAGAAAGGACACAGAAGCATCATAATATTTATCAATAAAGAATTCGGGTCATGAATTCCGTTCATTATCTATTTTTATTATCATGGCTCAACTATGCGGTAAACACACCCTTGATTAATTTGAATATAATACTTCATTATATTTCTATAGAAGCCAGTACAATATTAAAAAGATTGAGTGAACGATTGTATCAATATAGCAATTGTCAACAACCTGATATAGACTCACTACAACAAATAATTGACAGTCCATTATTTAATACATTATACAATTTACAGGAATCATTTCAACAATTAAAAGTTGAATTTGAAAAAGGAAATCCTTCAATAAAAGATTGTTCATTTGATTTTGATCTTGAAGGCCATTTAAAATTTATTAGCAAGAAAATAACAAATCAAAGTAATAATTTAGCTAATAGACTTTTTCTTTTCTATAATATAATATATAAAAATTTGTTTAGATATTAAAAATAATAAACGTTTAGCGAATGATAATATTCTTCGAAAAATTATCTTAACTAAACAAACACCTGACGAATCATTAGGTTTTAGTATAATCGAAAAAAAACATCGTTTATTTGATATTAATGCGATCTTTATCGAAGGTATTCAATCGAATGGTATTACTGAATTGTAAGTTCTTCTTTTTCCAATGATACCATCAGTTTCATTTTTTCATACTCTTGATTATTTACCTAATTTTCTTGGTTTTATTTTTCTTTCTCGTGGGATTCCTGTCAGCAGAGATCAATGATCTGTTTTATATCCAAATATTTGAAAAAAGATCTAATCGAATATCGAATTGATCAATATTATGTTGACGTCATCAATATATTTTTCTAATCAAATTGATGTTAATAAGACAAATAAAACTCTTAATTATTTGTATTTCTTCTTTTTTTTTCAAAACTAAGAAGAAGAAAAAAAAAAGATCTTATTGACTAAACACTTTCTCTCCTATATTTTCTTCAGTCATGACCTTCAATGATAATATCGAGCTATATTTTCTATTTTTCTTTTACCATAAGGAAACGCAAAAAGAGATGATTTACAAATAATTCCTATCGCGTTGTCGCGTCAATTTTTTCCTGATAAAAGAACGCATACAGAGTAACAAACATCTCATTCCATTTGTTACTTTTCTTAGCGTGTTGTATGCTGTACGTTCTGCTATTCTTGACAGTTGTCGGCACGCACAAAAAAGCCAAGAAAAAAAAAGAAAAATATACATTGACAACTTAGCTTTAAGAATCGATCGGGAAGAAAAAATTTTTCTAGATCATGAATATATTTCACTTTAAGTAGCATCTATTAAACAAAGAAACCGAGAAAAAAAAATAAGAAAAGTCGACAACACTTTTTTTTCTTCTTCGGTATGTTTATATAAATATATATATATATATATATATATGTAAATGAAAAAGAAGGAATCAATCGTCTTGTGCAGGTCTCGAGAGATCATGAACTATTGTCACAAAGGATAAACTCGTTGAATATAAAAAGAAAAGAAATAAGAAAAAAAAACGGAAGGAATAGATCATTATCATCATCATCATTAACATCATCGTCATGATCATCATGAACAGGAAATAGAAAAAAAGGTCTTTTTAATATGAAATCTACTAATACACCTTATTTAATAGGTTTTATAATGTAAAAGAATATATAAGAAAAAAAGAATTTTTATCAACAGTCAAGTAAGACTTATTGATCTTGTTCTTATCATTATTATTATTATTATTATTACTATTATATCAAAAAGAATAACTGAATAGGCATATACTTTTCTAAAGATCACTAAGATAAATAGTATACTAAACATGTTGCTTTAACATTTAGATCTTAGCGATAATCTTATAACAATAATGATAACAACTATGTCTGTTGTTGGCTTGTGTGCACTCTAACAAAAGATATTTTGTTATGAAAATTAGATTATATAAGACATTGATGGACTATAATGATAGAATAGTGCTCCCCTTCCTTTTTTGTTCCTTATTCATCTATCCCTCTTGGCAATCTATTGTGGATTTTTGAACGAGAAGTCGAGATTGTTTCTCATGATGTGTGTATATTTTATATGGATTTGAATATAGATTTTGATCGTTTTTTTTT